TAATACAGGAACATTTTTATTGTCATGGATACCTGAAGTTATACAATATGAAAAGTAAGTAGAAAATAATATACTAATGGGCCTTGTTATAGAGGCTTAGTGAATGTCCTGTTTGGGGTTGAAATTGTCAGATGCACACCCCTCTCTTTTTCATACTTTAAGGTCTGGTGCTCTAGATTTCTTCTTGTAATGTTAGAAGAATTTCCCTCTTTCTATKTTTTTTCCAAGAAAATAATGAAAAAATTCAAAATAAAACTGTACAAATATGTACATAATTTTTTTATTTTTAATTTTTTTAAATCCCCCCCCCTCCCCCGCTGGAGCATTTCTGGATCATGCTCTGGTCTGGCAGTTTTTTTGTAGCAGGCAGTGAGTGTACAAACATTGTCCAACCTACAGAGTGCAACTATGTGTCCAACATGGTTTAACTGAAAAATATTGAAGCTGGTGAAAATCAATTGATATGATGTCAATGCATTTATTTTTGCTTCCAGGTTAGAGGTCTTTATGCCTTTGTTGATCAATGTAATCCACTATAACTCTAGCTATCTCAATGAAAGTACTGTTGCTGGTATGATCAGGTAAATTGCTGTAAAATGAGAGGTTTTTTCCAAGTACATTGTAAAACTATTGTACTTTTTTTAAACGTACATATYAAAATATTCTATTTATTTATTTGTTCTTTCCTTTGCTAGTTCATTTGATTGTTAGTTCATTGTGCTCATTAAGCTGTTCCTTGTCAATTTGTAGAGAAATTTGTCAAATTGCAAGGAATAACAAAGAAGCCAAAAACATAGAGGTAAATAAAAAAACAGTTAATTTAGTCATTCTTTATTGTAATTTTAGGAACATTACCGGTCAGCTCATCCCATTTCCMTCTCGCYCCCACCATCTTGCCCCCTATAACTAACGGATATATAATATCGGGGCGAGATAGTGGTGCGAGATGGTATAGTAGGGACCAGATGGTAATGGGGCCAGATGACCGTAATTTATTARGAAGAGTATTGCAGCACTGGAATTCGTATCTGCATGACATAGATTATTCAAATTGAAAATGACTTTAATATTAACAGTCTTGTACAATTATATACAATTATTATTCTCTATGTAATATACATATCACTCCTTCATTTCCATTAAATTTATACATTTCTTCCTCATTTTAATGAATTAAAATATTAATAATTAAAATTTTTTATGTTTAGATTGGTAAAGGTTTTTTTCACACACAACTAATATGCATAAAATTAATGTGTATTCATTTATATTTTGATTTGGTAGATATTGATTGCATGTACTTTCATTTTATTATTTTCAGTTATCACTATCTCTTTTGGATGCCGTTGTGAGATACAGTTCACTACCACTTAGTTCCGTTAATGAGTTTATTTCTGCTCTTTGTACAACAGTCAATGTGAAAAATTGTTGTCAATATAGCTGGAAGGTATCACATAAAATGATTACAATAAATATTATATCTTGTCACACAATGCACATCATTTAATTTCTTTTATTTACTGSTGCAGATAATGCGCAATGTGCTTGGAACCCATCTTGGTCATCGTGGTGTTTACACTATGTGTACAATTATGGAGTCAGGAAGGTACATACA